TTCTTTTGGAGAATCTTTTCACTGGATATAGACTTCAAGACTGATAGCTTTTTGTTTTCTTTTAGCACCTTCAAGATGTTACTACATTGTCTTCTGGTATCCATTGTTTCTGATGAAAAGTATGCCTTCCTTTTTGTTACTGTTCTGTATGTGATGCTTCCCCCTCACTCTCAGCTGTTTTAAAGATATTTTTATTTGGAAATCTGATATGCATAACTCTCAGTGTAACTTTGATATGCCTAAATGCGGTTTCCTTTGTATTTATCTTGCTTACTGATCTCTGACCATCTTGTAACTTGGAGTGAAAGTTCTTCATCTGTCAGTTTTCAAAAATATTTTACTGCTTCATTATACTGTCTTTTCCTTTTGCAGCTCCAACACGTATACACTAAACTGTGCAATATTGTTCCATAGTTTCATGGGGTTGTTTTGTAATCATTGCCTATCGCTGTACTTGTGATCATATAATTTCTGTTTATCTATTTTCTGAATTCCCCTAAATCAATGTGATTCAATCACCAAGCTATGTTTCCTTAAGAATACTGTTAGGACTTGGTTTTCAGCTTTGTTAAAGTGGATCCAGAGTCCACCTACAGTTGTAGTGCCCACCTCTCAGTCAGATTCCTTCTCTTACTGCCCTGCCCCCCAAATTCCAGCCACTTAAAAAATGCAGAACTCTGATCTCTGCCTTATTAGATAAGAGACTTCCATGCTAGAACTGAACTCCAGGTAACTGCACTGCAGCTGAGAAACTGTTCCCCCACAGAGATCCAGGGAAACTATGGGGCTCACCTACTCTCTTTCCTCTCAAGAACCAAAGCCCTTTTGTATGGTCATTTTATTTTATAGATATTTCATCCTAAAATTTATTCATACCCCTGCTTGGTTATGTTGTGCGTACTACAGCTGCACTCTTCCCTTCTTATCCTTGAACTGTTGCCCTTCAGTTTTCTATCTGACATTCCAATGCTGCCTTCACATTCTGGCTTTTAATGCATTCTTTAGGCCTCCTAGTTTTGTGATCACTTCACATTCTCTATTCTGACTATTGAACTCTGTTTCCTTTTGGACTTCAGTCACCTATGTCAAAGTTTTCTTCCATTTAAAGTGTGAGAGTATGACATTCCATTAAGGGTGTGTGTGTGTGTGTGTGTGTGTGTGTGTGACTATGAATGACCATTACAGCTTAGCCAATCTCTTATCTTTCCTTCTTAATGAACAAGCAAGGACATTTTGCCAACAGGGAATAGTTACTAAGCTTTGTCCTCTGGTAGACTTAACTGAAGATGAGGCCAATCAATATCAATTTTGGTCTTTTTCCTTGCTAACATAAACACTGTTTTGCTGGAGACTAGAATATGTCCATTTAAATCTTAAAATTCCCAGATTCCTTGGAAACTAGATGCAGCCATGTGACATACCTCTCACCAATGAGATGCATGCCAAGGGCATTAGGTGAGGCTTTGGGGTAGACACACAAACACACACACACACACACACACACACACACACACACACACACACACACACACATACGCAGCTCCTCACTATAACTATTCCCCATTTCACACACACACACACACACACACACACACACACACACACACACACACACACACATGCAGCTCCTCACTATAACTATTCCCCATTTCCCTTTTCCCTTCTACTCACCCTCTTTGACCAGGAAGTTCTGATCTTAGCCTGGAGAAGAACATGACCCGGATACCCCTCTGATCCTAGAAGAATGTGAGAGACGTGGAGTAAACTTGAACTAACCCTGTGACCTGGAACCAAGTGCAGCCAAGGGCAGCTGAAGTCAGTCAGCCCCAGCTTGCCCAAAGACATATGAGAAAGAAACACTTATTTGTTGTATGCCAGTGAGATTTTTATGGTTATTGGTTATGCAGCATTATTCTAACAATAGTTGATGGAGACAAGAAGCTAGAATCAAATCACGGAAATGCTTAATTAGCAGAATATAATAATGTGGCCTTTAATAGAACACCTCTGCTACTAGACTGCTGGAGTTCAGTATCCAGCTCTATTGTTTCTAATCACTTGAGTATTGGCCAAATTAATTACTCTGTCTCAGTTTCATCAATTGTAAAATAGGAACAATTATGAGGTACTTTTGAGGATTAAACAAGCTAATCATTTAATATTTGATATCATGATATCTGGTACATACTAGGTACTTAATTAATGTTCATAATCATTATTTAATACCAGACTGAAGAGTTCAGATTTTATTCAGCAGGCCAATGGTTCTTAACTATATTTCCATGAAATATGGTTGTTCTATCAGCTGAGGTAAATTAACAGGTGAATTTAACTAATTTGATATAAATTTCTCATTCTAGGAATTTTTCTCCCCTATTTGTTCTTAAATCTCTACTGGTTGGTCCCACTTGTTTGCAAGCCAACTGATAACAAGTAAATGAACAAGTAGTATATTAATATTAATAGAAAGATTCAGAAAAAACCAATTATAGTTTGATAACTATATTTCAAATAGATATTTGTGCTCAAAATGTTCATTTTATATTGCAAAAGCAACATACAATATTTTCTCCTGTAAAAATTGTTCCTCATTCCTATGACAGATTTAAACATATCTTTACATCATGATGAATTACAAACAATACCAAAGGGCTTTGTGTGCTTAAGATCACTGTTGTTGAGGACTGAGAATACCTGAAGAATCAATTGGTTTTTGTTTTTTACTCGAGAGATCTAAAGTTGAAAGGTTTACCCCAGCAGTAATACATAGGGTCTAAGTGAAAGCAGAAAGCCCTAGCAATATAAAAATGATTAGTTACAAGCAGGGTGCAGAAAAGCATGCCTTAATGGAAAAGACATTTGGGAAGCGGACAGGATACGACAACATCTGGATGCAGGTGATGAGGGAAAGGAGAGATTCTTAAATTTTAGTGTAAATAAAAATCACCCTGAGAGCTTTATAAAAAGGCTTATTTAGTCCATATCCTCATTCCCAAAAATTCTATCTCAGAATTTCTGGAGTCTGCATTTTAAATAAAATGCCTTTGATTCTGATTCAGGTGGTTGGGAGTCACACATTGAGAAGCAATAGAACGTGACTTGCTCTAATCATTTAGAAACATTAGTTTGACTCTGAGATTTCAGAACAATTTAGCATTTTGTATGTCCCAGTTACTGGCAAAGTTTGCCACAGATGGAAAATTGTAGGGAACAAATGACTCCAAGATTTTATGCCTGAGCACCTAGAAGAATAATAATGTCACTAATCGAGACAAAAATACACAATGCCAAAATCAGATTTTGGAAGGAAGGAAAGATAATGCACGTTTTCTTTCTTTTTTTCTCCTTTCTTTCTTTGACAAGCTGAATGTTGGATTTTCTTGGGTGGTGGGGAAGAATGGCATTAAATACCAACTCTCTCCCACTTATGGTTTGAAATAACATTCTGAGTAAAGAAGATGGGAAATCAAAAGAGCCACTTTATCATTGATAAATGCCTAGCTGACACTAGGATGTATCACAAATGGGCTTCCTCACACTGGAACCCAACATTCAGATGCCTAGTCCCTACAATATTACCAGGCAGAAGCAACTTTATCACCCTGCTCCCTGAAAAAGATAAAACTCTATGCTGTCTATCCTACCTCAAATAGCTCTCTAGCAGTTGGCTCCACAGCTCAGGGGTTAGAGCAGTGGTCTTGTAAAACAGCTCTCTACAATATTTGTACTATAGATTTTGTACTTTTAATTTATAACACACACTTCAGAATTGAAAATTAGTGTGATTATTGTTGTTATCCCCACTTGAAACTAAGTTCCATGAGGGCAGAGAATGAGTCTTATTTTGTTCACTATATACAACTTTGAATTTAGCATAGTGCTAAGCAAAGAGCAGGAACTCTGAATGATTTGTTAGATTAATATGTTTTAAAAAGCATAACAAATATTAACTTCTACTTCTGGTCAGGTGTTTTCTTAGTATCTGCTGAAACTGAAGTTCCACGTTACTGATGTCAAAGTTAAGTAGGCAAGGAAGACTTTATTTAAGACTATTGCAATAGGGGAGAAGGGCCAGAACTCCTCTGAGTTCAACTTCTCTAAAAGAACTGGACAGTTTTTAAGAGCTGGGATGAGGGAATTATAGAACACCTGTGCTTGCTAATCAACTTTACTCAAAGAAAAAGTAAACTGTCTCTTATCTTCATAACAGGAGGTGATTTTACAACTTGAATGAGTCTACAGAGGTTAGGCTCCTATCCTCCCACAGAAAATGGGAGATAGGGGCACTGTCTTCCTTGTTGATTACATTTCAAAAAGATGGGTGCCAGATCCTTGAGAAAAAGTCTTGAGTTATAACACTGGCAAGAAGCTTTTTATAAGATTTACATCTCAAAGGAGTAGAGAAAGCATTTGAAATGATAAACTTTATAAAGTAAATGCTCTGAAGAAAGGGAGGTCAGGGGCTTAGAGGCAGGAAAAAAGCTTGATTAAAGTTTGTAAGCAAGTTGAGGGAAACTTTAAGCCGTCTTGCCTACTGATTAGATGTGCTTTTGCAGTTTTGCACCAAGAAATTCAAACTATCAGCTTCCTCTCTCTCATGGTTCCTGCATGAAAGAGTTGTTGCACATGTCACACAATCCTTTTATGTCTACCTTCTTGTTACTCATCCTTCACTCTGAAGGCAAGTCTTCCTTGCCTGTTTAACTCTGACATCAGTAACACAGAAATTCAGTTTAAGCAGATACTAACAGTCAAGAAAACACCTGAGCAGATGCAGACCATCGCACAGCAAAGCCCCCACAACGCTCTTCGACCAGGGCGCCTGCGCACTCGGCCCTAGGCTTCTGACGTCACTGAGCGCGCCCCACCCCTACGAGTTAGCAACCTAAAGCATCCGTAACAGCAGTGGCTGCTGAAATGTACGAACTTCCGGTTCTCCCGGCAGCTGCCGCCGCAGTCTCCTCTGCCGCCTGCAGGGGAGGGGCTGGGCCTCAGCCCGGGATTTGGTCACCTCTTCCTTATTCTCCGCGGCGCCCATGGTCCCTCCTGTTGCCAGGGTGGTGGGCCCGGCGGCTCCCGTGTGGTGAGAGAGAGTTTTGGGGACGATGAAGGCCCCGCACTGCTGCTGCTGCTGTCTCAGCCGCCTCCTGAACTCCGTCGTCCTCTTGCTCCTGCTGCCAGCGCTGAGCGGGCCTCTGGCGGTGCTGCTGCAGGCGGCCGAGGCCGCGCCTCCAGACCATGGGCCGCGGACCCTGTCGCCGCTGCCGCCGGGCCCCACCGCTGCCCAGCAGCCGGGCCGTTCTCCGGCTGAAGCCACGGGGCCGCGTGCCTCAGAAGGCGGCAACGGCAGCAGCCCCGGGGCGGGGCTTGCGGCGGTCGATCACGGAGGGAAGGCCGGCGAAGTCTCAGAGGGTGGCGGCCTCGCGGTGAGCCCCAACCCTGGCGACAAGCCCATGACCCAGAGGGCCCTGACCGTGCTGATGGTGGTGAGCGGCGCGGTGCTGGTGTACTTCGTGGTCAGGACGGTCAGGTGAGGCGAAGCCTCGATGGGGCTCCCCCGTGAGCCTGAGATGGGCTGGCCGGTGACCTCCCTCCAGCGAGGCAGATTTCTATCACCTGGCCTTGCTTTCTCCCCTCCTCCAGCATCAGGAGCTCCTCCCTGAGTGAGAAAGTGCTTTTGACTGTCTTAATGGCCTCTTTCTTTTGGGGGAAATTAAATCTCCAAGTAGTTGTTGCCTTTCCATTATAAATTAGTACTACACCTCCAAATCTCTTCATCTTGTTTGAGGCCCGCCTCAGACTCAAAGAGCACCCTTTCCCTGAAGTGGAAGTGATCTTTTATTCCTTCTAGTGTTGACAACTGTGTAGTAATAGTTCTCCCTTTCTACTCTATTTATTTTTGTGTACCTAACTTGCCAAAGTTTTGCCCATCAATATGCAAACTCTTTTAGGGCAGGATTCCTATTTAGTAGGTTTATAAATCTTTGAGTTCTTAGAACAGTGCTGCCACTTAACAGGAAATCAATATTTATTTGAGTGGATTAATAGTAGTGCAGAAGGGACTTATGGATATTTTATTTATATAAAATTTAGAAGAAGAAAAGTTCTTCCTTACCATCAGTGTTTCTTAGTATTGGCCTTTAATCCTGCCACCTAAGTAATTAGGTTGTACCTAATTAGTTGGGGACCACCTCTGAAGAGTTGACATACAGAGCCAAGATCTCATCATTAAAAGGAGCCAACCAAGAGAGGAAAAGAGGGAAAGCTGTCTAGCAGTTTTCTCCACTATAATGTAAGAGTAGAGGGTAGGTTTGCACGATTGTGCTTGTTTATTGTTTTCCAAACTACTTCACATTTGTCCCATAATTCCGTTATTTAATGTATTTCTATAAATTGATTATTCACACTAAGTTTCCTTTTAAACAAGTCATTATAGGTGTTATAAATAGAAAACCAATGTCACTTGGCTTAAGTGGCTGATTAAAAAAGTACTGTAAAAGTAAAGCTAGTGGTTCTCCTCAAGTGGTCCAGAGAATCCTGAGGGTGGGGTTTCCTTGAGAACTGTCTGGGGAATCTACAGTATCAAAACTTATTTTCAAAATAGTACATTTTCTTACAAGTTTATAGGGTACAAAAAGTCCATTAATATTGTTTTAGATTCCACATTGCAATTAACCTTTAATAACTACCTCTTGTCAAATTTTGGTGTAGTATCAAAAAAAGAATAATCACTGATACCTAAAAAGGCTATTAAAATGCTTCCTTTTCCAAGTTCATATCTGTGTGAAGCTGTATTTTCTTCCTATCCTTCAACCAAGCACATTGCAGATGATTGACTGCAGAGGCAAATATGAAAATCTAGCTGTTTTCTATTTCCTATCTGTTTCTATTTTCTAATTACTTCTATCACTTTAAGCCAGGTATTAAAGGGATTTAAGAAAACCTAAATCAATGTCATTCTTTCCATAATTTTTGTTTTCTTTTTTGACAGTATAGTTATTTTTCATAAAAAGTTATGTTAACTTGTAATATATTTGTTATTATTTTAAATCAACTGATAAGTATTTAAAAGTTTTCTCAGATTTAATCTGTATGTTAAATATTGATATATATAATCCACCCATAATTTTTGTTTTCTTTTTTGACAGTATAGTTATTTTTCATAAAAAGTTATGTTAACTTGTAATATATTTGTTATTATTTTAAATCAACTGGTAAGTATTTAAAAGTTTTCTCAGATTTAATCTGTATGTTAAATATTGATATATATAATCCACATAAATAAAAATTCTTTAGGGGTTCTAAATAATTTTTGAGAATGTAAAGGAATCCAAAACGTCTGAGAACCAATGGTGTAAACAATATTACTGAGCTAGATACATTTGGCTCACAAAGGCCAACAAATCCTCTGGGCTGGGGGCACTGCCTCTTGGCCATGAAAGCTTCCCAAGGTGAACCAAGGCCTGTAGACATAGGCCTCGGAGTCCCACAGCTCAGCACCCTGTGTGGAAAACCTTCCACGACCACTCTCTGTTAAAGGGGAAGGAAGTTAGATAATGTTCAGGAGGTATTGAAGGCATATTACCAAAAAATTGAGACTTTTTGATTGCTATAAAGAAAGATTAAATGAAAATTGAAACATTATTTTTCTCAATATATAATTGTTGTTTAACGCTGTCTGTACTCCTATGAAGATCTGTAGTACAGTGAATATTATATTTCTTATACATGTAAATTATGGGCATGATGATAATTTGGAGAGGATGATATCCCTTTCTCATTTTTTCTTTTGCTTCCACCTTATTTATAATCTTATGTACGTATGTTTATTGTCATTGATTTTTCTGTCTTTATTGCTGTAAAACTTAGAAGGATACAGTTTTTTCAATCAGGTTCTGTTGGATGACTCAATAAATAACATGTTGTGTGATAACAGCCAAATTTTGAACTATGCCTAATAAAAACTGTATTCTTTAACCAGCATCTAACACATTCGTGTAGTCCAAGTCCTAAATTTAGTTGGCTACCTAAGGTCCAAAGCTTGATTGATGTTAACAATTTTTGGGTGGTGTTCAGAACTCATATTTATCACTTCCAGATTATGATTTTCATCCTCATTTTGGTAAATCCTCATTTTGGCTCACACTTCCAAAATATGTGTTATAGTATACCAGCATTCGTTATTGGCACACCAAGGGGAAAGAATGAGCCCAAAATCATTTTCTTAACTGATATGGGGTGACCCAGAGAATATTTTACTTGTAAAATTTTATTATGTTGAACTCTGTGAGACTTCAATTTGTTTTGTTTTAGCTTAACTCGGTTATAATGAATATGTGGCTAGGAATAACTTTCACTTTGAGTCTATTCCAAAGAATAATCAGATTCTCACTGTAGAAATTGAAAAATATGTGCAAGGAACACAGTAGGGACAGAGTAGACTTTCTGAAATGAACACAATCTATGAAAAGAGGCTTGTTGTCTGTTTTATTCTCTACTGTATGCTGAACATTTTGTACAACGTATGGTGGGCATTGAATAAAGTAGTTGCCTAATGAATGGGCATTCTTAGTTAATTCTTTATATTGCTGTATAGCTAGATGGTGAGGATTTGGAAATTTAAGAGTAATTACTACTTACTGAGAGAATAAAGAAGTGTGAATATCTCAATTAATACATAGATTTCCTTCCTCTATAGGATGTTCTCACACAGTCAAATGTATAAGGCCGGGGGGTGGGGGGGGACACTTTTAAAGTTTGTTATTATTTTTGAGTATGTATATTGATAATATAGAAACAATTTATAAATAACTTTGTGAATAATAGTCCTTGCCTTAAAGCAGGGAATTTTTTATTCATGCCGTCATTACAGTTTTTTTCAATTTTTACTTAATGTGGTGTATTGGAAGGAGATCAAGTTTTAGATTCTAACCCTTCCACTTTTTCTCACTATGATCTTTAGCAAGTTACTTAACCTCTCCAGTTTCAGAATCCCTTTTGTGAAATGGGGATTAAAACCTATTTGATATGGTTGAGATGAGCATGAAATTTAGCATGATAGCCTTCATTCAGGCAGTCAGTATTTATTCAACTGCCCGGTACTGGGCATCTGGCATATACTTGTGAGCAAAATAAATATTTCTGCTTCTGTGGCACTTATAGACTGGAGGATCAGAGGACATTAATCAAATAATCATATAGATAATAAAGAGTGTCCAGGATGCTAAGAAAAGGCATTTAAATGCAGTTCTTTTAGTACAACGGTACTCAAAAAGTTCATGGAAAGTGGAATTAAAGGATCATATGAATCTTTCCATGAACTTTTTGAAGACTCCATTATTTCATTTAGAGGAAATACACAATATTAATTTAATTTGAATGGTTACCAAAGCCTATAAACTGAGACACAAAATTAGATTTCTTTCAAAGAGATTTACTTACTAAAACATTATTTTGAGATTTTACTTACTATCTTAATAGCTAATTTGTGTCAGATATAATGCCACATACTTCGTGTGCATTTTCCACTTTAATTCTTGCAAAAACCTTCAATGTAATAGTATTCTTGTTGAGGAAATTGAGGCTGCTCAGGGTTAGTTTTTCCAAAGGTACAAATATAGGATCAGCCTAAACCCAGCTGTGCCTGAACTAACCATTCTCAACCACTATGCTGCTTCCTGTGGTAAAGTAACCGACTTAAAGTGATATTGCACATAAAGATGGCTAGCTGATTTATGGAGAAAAACAAAGTGGATATTATATGCCCAGTGTCTTTCTGTTTAAAACATATAATTTTTGTTGAATGTTAAACCTGCAAGTTTCACTGTTTTAAAAATTGAGTCAATCTTACCATGTATTGATCATCATGTCTGTGCTGAGCTGGAATAGTTCAGTATCCTATCTCACCCTTCTACGTCCCTCCCTTCATCCAAAGATTTCCTGGATTTGCTAGATATATTCAGGGAATGGTGATATTTTAAAGCAATCTTTGTTAATCTGATTATACGTTTTTCTATCTTAACTCCTGGAGCAAGTCACTAATAAATTATGGATGTCAGATTGGTAACCATATCTCTGCTAGCTGATTAGTTAAGAATATGAGTTGAGCAATTTAACATATGAAAACATATGGTTTTAGGACTACTTATAAAATCATAAGACATTGATAGAAATCACTCAATTTAGGCAAAAATGGAATACTTTGACTATTTTTCCATTTTTAGATTTAGTCACTGCCATGATTTCATAAATATTATTGACCACCTATTATGTATCAGTATGTCTTACGATGAGGATTAGCAGTGCACAAGATGGGAAACTCCCTGCCTTTGTGGAATTTCCATTTTAGTTGTTTATATATTCTTTGAAAGTGGAATTTTTCTAACAATTGTAAATTGTTCTGGTTTGTCAACATTTATTCATCTGGGTATTATATAGTCAATGCTTTTTGTAGAGAGAGACCCAAGAGTTTGGAAATGTATTTAACAAGTGTAAGTTCTCAAGGAATTGATACTCTTTGCAGAGATGAAA